ACCTCTCTTTCTCTCTACATCGAATTGTTTTTCACAAACCAAGATTTATATTAATCTCTTTATCTGATTATGGCAACACAAACATTTAGACACGTGAGTAACCGGCATCGATCAAGCCTTAGGCATTGTGAGCTTCCAGCTACTTGATAAACCACCACGACTACTTAAGCAAGCTTCTTCAACGTTATTTGTAGGAATTAATTACTAATATCTATTAATTAGTCTGAGCCAACCAGACTCCTGCCTGAGAATCAGGGCCTTAACATCTAATAATCGTCCAGGCGCAAGTGAACGCCGAAATTTTCCAAATATTCCGGAAAAGAAAGAGACAAATACACACAATAAATCATTTTAAAAAAACCTTGTTGCTTCAATTTAGAAGAATTTCATATTTTTGTTTCAGTTTAGAAGTTCTAGACTCACTGTAAAATGTTTAATGATATTAAAATAAATCATTACAAACCACATTTTTATTAATCAATTACGATGTTGTAGACTTTTATCAATTACAAAATCTAAGAAAAGACTTAAAAAGTACTAAACTATTACTGAAATCAAATTGACAAAAAATGACCATTTTTGACAGTTTATGACAAGTTTTTGACAGTTTTTGACCGTAAATGACGGTCAGTCAAATTCAGATTCTGACCTTTTTCTTTAGTAATCAAGTAAGACGATGTTAATAAAAATAACTCCAAGATTTGAGTTGTTCTCGAAATTCTGAGAAATAATAATATTTTTTACTACATACAAAGTTAATAATTTAATATTATTTCATGTAGAAAAAGTCAACATTACCAATTTGGGGCTTCCAGGAACCTAAAATAGGTAGGTACCTACTGTTGTTGCGACGCCGGCAAAAACATAGATCTCAGTCTAGTTAAATATTTTAAAAACAACAGATACTTTAACAAGTATGTCGTACATATAAAATAAGTAAGTTATAGTATTTTTAAGGAAATTATTATTTGTAGTTAAAATAAATAATCATCTTCTAATAATATTCCACTACTATTTTATGGGTTCGAATAATTAATTAATCAGCGCCATCTCTATGTTATTTTAAGAACCCATCTCCAAAAGCATACTTGAGAAGTTGCTTTTTTAAGTAATACGGAAGGTTCTACTACTCGTCGCTAGATGGCGGGCAGTCTTAATCAAAACGAAGTTTGTGGTGAAAAAGTTTTGTATTTTTTCTACCCGGCGCTAGATGGCGGTAAATAGCCCTTTTAAAAATAATGCAAATACAAAAAAAAAATGCAAAAACATAATGCCTGCAATCAAATTAAACAATAATCTGCCCTCTACTTACTAAAGTCATGTTTTTGTCAGGTCTAGGATTTGCACAAATAAAGCGATAAATAAATTATCATAAAGTAGCGGTTCTTTAATTTATTCAGACACTAGAAACTGGTTTTTATATCCCGTTTTTAACATGATGCGTGTGTTCAATGTTCATAGTCCAATCGGAAAGGTTAATGACCATAAAGATGTTCAAATGGACACGCAAAAACCAAATTGCAGTAGAGCACGATTAAAATGAATTTTCATTTATTTTTTTAAATATTACGAAATTCAATTGAAGTCGCCAAATGAAGATTATTCTGAGGACTTGGAAGACTTTTTTCTTGAATAAAAATTTAAATAATAATCTACCAGTAATCTTCTCCATAGAGGGTGAATTTTATAAAATCCTTTGTTAGGGGATGCCTAAATCCTAATCTATTCAACGTAATTCTTTTAGTTGGTTGACTTATGTATTGGTGGACCAGATTAACTGGAATTTTAGAGCTAGAATGAAGTGCTTTTTAAAGAAGTTGTGACTATAAACTATTATTATCCCTACATAAATGTCTACCCAATTATTGCGTTTATACAAAGCCACACCCATAGTATCTAACGCCCATATTCACAAACGATGCTTGCTTAAGTGAAGCAGCAAATCGAACGCACACCATTGAATAGAGCTCTGTGATTGGTTCGTGTGTCACCCTGTGCGTACACTGTGAGACCTCATAGTAATGTTTGTGAAGTACTATGTCCCTAAGGTCTAAAATCCGTGGCATACTTACAAAGACGAGCATGATGAAGAAAGCTGCTACGTATGAGCTGCGTGCGGTCAGCATGGACACAAAGCGGTAGTGCTCCCCGGTGATCACGTTCCTACGACAGGAGAAGCCATGTTGAGATTGGTCTATTCCACTTTGATCACCTAGGTCAGGGGTCTTCAAACTACGGCCCGCGGGCCATATTCAGCCCGCCACTGGCGTCAATCTGGCCCGCGACAGTAATAGAAATGCAATAAAAGCCTGTTTGTATGGATGGGCAGAAAAATTAAAATTGTTATGGCCCTTGCAACATACCGAAAAAATTATTATGGCCCCGAGGCTTCACAGCACACACCAAGCGACACTGGTGTCCTTTGATCACCCATGGATAAGAAGTCCACTTTGATCACGTAGGTGATATTTTCTGTGGGTGATCAAAGGACAACAAAGTGACGGCTGGAATCAACTTTGATCACCTGGGTGATCAAATTCAAGTGATCAAAGTGGTATAAACCGGTAATTTGACATCTAAATGTCAGCGCACAAAGGCGGAAAGCGCGGGAAAGCGGTCGCGATCCGGGACGATATTTTTTGGAATGTTCTAGTTTGTATAAAATCAGTCACATAGAAAGTGGACGCCTCCCGGCACGATACGCGTCCACCACTTCGCACTGGATCGCTTCTCCGCTCTTCCCACCCTTGTGTACGCTGACTTTGATTCTATTTGTAATTGGCACAGACACGTGTAAAGATGTGTACACACATGTATGTAAATATTTTAGGAACAGTTTTTGCAGAGATAAATAAAATTTAAATTAAACTGATAAAGAGCAAAAAATAATCTTTGCATTATGCACAAAACTGTCACACAAATGTCAAGGGCAAAACATTCAAATTAGTTTTGCACAAATATTTGCAAATGACTTCCCACACTAGTTTTTGTGCATCTTCAAAAACATCTTGACACTCGTCTGTGACCGGTATAGTAAGTAAATGCTAATTACACTTAAAAATTACATGAAACATGTTATTTACATTGATACTTTAAATGATGTGATATCTAAATTGTTTAACTTACCATCCGAATCTACGCTAAAATTTTATGTTTTTACTTTATTTTATTGCAGTAAATTTTCTCAGTTATAAATATCTAATTATTTGTTATTTGTAGCTATTTAAGCTGGATATTAGTTACAACTGATCAAGATTACCAGTCAACCAATCAGCATACAGTGTCATGCTCTAAGAAAGAACCCAGAACATAACATTTTTGAAACTATTCTTTTTTCAAAGAATATTACCAATTTGTAAATACAAATTACTAATAATTTAACCCCTCGTGGTAAGCTAATTAAGCTTGTGTTGCGAGTGGGTTCATCACATTAGTCGAGCGGTGGCAGGGTTCGAACTCGCGTTCCTAGGATCACGGGTTGCCAGTCTGGGGGCGCAGTGTGAGTTTACGTCAAACGCATTCGATGTCGACTGCGTAGTAAAGTGACATTAAATGTATGACGGATTGAACAGCGCCCCTAACGGGACTATTCCCACCTCTCGTTCCCACCACTGCAACCAGTGGCGGCGTAGCANTATAAAATAAGTTTTGATTTTGAATAATTTATGGGTTCGAATAATTAATTAATCAGCGCCATCTCTATGTTATTTTAAGAACCCATCTCCAAAAGCAAACTTGAGAAGTTGCTTTTTTAAGTAATACGGAAGGTTCTACTACTCGTCGCTAGATGGCGGGCAAAGTCTTAATCAAAACGAAGTTTGTGGTGAAAAGGTTTTGTATTTTTTCTACCCGGCGCTAGATGGCGGTAAATAGCCATTTTAAAAATAATGCAAATAGAATACATAAAAAAATACAAAAACATAATGCTTGTAATCATATTAAACAATACTCTGCCCTCTACTTACTAAAGTCATGTTTTTGTCATGTCTACGATTTGCACAAATAAATCGATAAATAATCATAAAGTAGCGGTTCTTTAATTTATTCAGACACTAGAAACTGGTTTTTATATCCCGTTTTTAACATGATGAGTGTGTTAAATGTTCACAGTCTAAAGGTGAATGACCATAAAGATGTTCAAATGGACACGCAAAAATCAAATTACGGTAGAGCACGATTAAAATGATGTCACAAGACATAACAAAGTCTATTAATCTTTTCATTTATTTTTTTAAATATTACGAAATTCAATTGAAGTCGCCAAATGAAGATTATTCTGAGGACTTGGAAGACTTTTTTCTTGAAAAAAATAATTTAAATAATAATTAATAATCATAATCTACCAGTAATCTTCTCCATGGGGGGTGAATTTTATAAAATCCTTTCTTAGGGGACGCCTAGGTCCTAATAACTATTCAACGTAATTCTTTTAGTTGGTTGACTTATGTATTGGTGGACCAGATTAACTAGAATTTTAGAGCTAGAATGAAGTGTTTTTTAAAGAAGTTGTGACTATAAATTATTATTATTCCAACTAATATTATAAATGCGAAAGTAACTCTGTCTGTCTGTCTGTCTGTTACGCTTTCCCGCTTAAACCTCGCAACCGATTTTGATGAAATTTGGCATAGAGATAGTTTGAGTCCCGGGAAAGAACATAGGATAGTTTTTATCCCGGTTTTTGAAACAGGGACGCGCGCGATAAAGTTTTTCTGTGACAGACAAAATTCCACGCGGGCGAAGCCGCGGGCGGAAAGCTAGTCCCTACAAAAATGTCTACCCAATTATTGCGTTTATACAAAGCCACACCCATAGTATCTAACGCCCATATTCACAAACGATGCTCGCTTAAGTGAAGCAGCAAATCGAACGCACAGCATTAAATAGAGCTCTGTGATTGGTCCGTGTGTCACCCTGTGCGTCCACGCGCACTGTGGGACCTCATAGTGATGTTTGTGAAGTACTATGTCCTTAAGGTCTAAAATCCGTGGCATACTTACAAAGACGAGCATGATGAAGAAAGCTGCTACGTATGAGCTGCGTGCGGTCAGCATGGACACAAAGCGGTAGTGCTCCCCGGTGATCACGTTCCTACGACAGGAGAAGCCACGTTGAGATTGGTCTATTCCACTTTGATCACCTGGATTTGATCACCTAGGTCAGGGGTCTTCAAACTACGGCCCGCGGGCCATATCCAGCCCGCCTCTGGCATCAATCCGGCCAGCGACAGTAATAGAAATGCAATAAAAGCCTGTTTGTATGGATGGGCAGAAAAATTAAAATTGTTATGGCCCTTGCAACATACCGAAAAAAATATTAAATATCAGGGCTCGGAGACCCCTGACCTAGGTGATCAAAGTGGGACTCCAAGCGACTCTTCGGTGTCCTTTGATCACCCATGGATAAGAAGTCCACTTGATCACGTAGGTGATATTATCTGTGGGTGATCAAAGGACAACAAAGTGACGCCTGGAATCAACTTTGATCACCTGGGTGATCAAATCCAGGTGATCAAAGAGGAATACACCGGTAATTTAACATCTAAAGGTCAGCGCACACAGAGGCGGGAAGCGCTGGAAAGTGGTCGCGATCCGGGATGATATTTTTAGGAATATTTTAGTTTGTATAAAATCAAACACATAGAAAGTGGACGCCTCCCAGCGCTATGGGATCGCTTCGCCTCCCTTTCCAGCCTTGTGTGCGCTGACTTTGATTCTATTTGTAATTGGCACAGACACGTGTAAAAATGTGTACACACATGTATGTAAATATTTTTTGAATACTTATTGCATAGATATTGGACTTTTAAATGAAATTTAAATTAAACTGATAAAGAGCAAAAATAATATTTTCATATGCACAAAACTGTCACACAAATGTCAAGGGCAAAACATTCAAATTAGTTTTGCACAAATATTTGCAAATGACTTCCCACACATAGTTTTTGTGCATCTTCAAAAACATCTTGACACCGGTATAGTAAGTAAATGCTAACTACACTTAAAAATTACATGAAACATGTTATTTACATTGATACTTTAAACATTGTGATGTCTAAATTGTGTAACTAAACCATCCGAAACTATGCTCTATGTATTTACTTTATTTTATTGCAGTAAATTTTCTGTTATAATTATCTAATTATTTGTTATTTGTAGCTATTTAAGCTGGATATTAGTTACAACTGATCAAGATTACCAGTCAACCAATCAGCATACAGTGTCATGCTCTAAGAAAGAACCCAGAACATAACATTTTTGAAACTATTCTTTTTTCAAAGAATATTACCAATTTGTAAATACAAATTACTAATAATAATTTAACCCCTCGTGGTAAGCTAACGAGGGCTATCGTTTTTATACTTAGCAGTTGGCACCCCTGGCGATTGACAGGACTTTACTCTACAGTGGCGCCATCTTGATGAGTGCAAATGCGATAGTCCTCCTACCACTTTAGCGCTCACCAGTCGGCGCCACTGTCTTCGCTACTAGCAAGTGACAGGACCTTACTCTTCAGTGGCGCCAACTGGTGAGCGCTAAAACGATAGCCCTCATTAAGCTTGTGTTGCGAGTGGGTTCATCACATTAGTCGAGCGGCGGCAGGGTTCGAACTCGCGTTCCTAGGATCACGGGTTCCCAGTCTGGGGGCGTGTGAGTTTACGTCAAACGCATTCGATGTCGACTGCGTAGTAAAGTGGCATTAAATGTATGACGGATTGTACAGCGCCCCTAGCAGAAACTTTTAAGAACTAAAATCTTCATATATTTATAAAAAAAATTAACGCGCTCGCTATTAATGACGTTTGATGTAAGCTCACACTACGCCCTCTGCGTCGTGGCTTCTTTTAGCTTTCACATTTACAGTAGGAAAAGCGAACATTACATTCATTTTCTTACCTCAAATACCCTTTGTTATCCTCATTCTCAGCCAAAGTCTTTATAGAAGCCATCAGCAAGTCGTCGTATCCCAGAAACTCGTCAAGCACGAACCGCGAGAACGTATCGCCGAAGCATTTGTCCTCTTGAGGATCTAACGTAACGATTTTGACTGGGATCTTCAGTCTTAGTCTGGCACTAGGCGATAGACGTAGGAACCCGTATTCCAGGGAATATTCCAGAATGTAATCTTCATCTGAAACATAATAAAAGGCTCTTAGAATAGGTATTTTGTTTGAATCATAATACATTTTGTTATGAATTTTAAACTATACAGTATTGTAATCGAAATAAAGCAAAATATCAAACGCCCTGTCCATCTCAGTGTCATCTTCAATGTATTTAGTTTATACTAGCTTTAGCCCGCGGCTTCACTCGCGTTACATTTAGTTTGTCACAGATCGTCATAAATTATATCCTTTGTGTTATTCTGGGTTATAAACAATAATACTGTAAAGTTTCATCAAAATCCGTTCAGTAGTTTTTGGGTGAGAGTAACAAACATATTGACATCCAGACATCCATAACAAACTTTCGCATTTATAATATTAGTAAGATTATAGTGTTATTCATGTCTGTCAACTTTGTAGCATTGTACTGTTAGTCACAAGAAATAAATAATTTTTAGTGACTACTTTCAATTTGAAGCAATAATATCAAATCTGCATTATTGCATTTACCTATGGCTTAAAAACGTGACTTAAGTATACAATCTATCAAAATCATTACAGAGTGATTTTGCAAATTTTTAGAAGCTACTCAGAATCAGTAACATAATCGATTTACGTAAGGAAAAAGTTTTTTTTGTATATTATTTTAATTATTCCTATTCACTATTTAAAGCACGCGTGAATAATTTACTTCATGAAAATACGCACGCACGTCACGATAATATTTTCGTTACGGTTATCTGCAAAGTTTAATACGCGATAGCCTAGACATTAAGGCGACATTAATTTCGAAAAATACGCAAATTCGTAATATTCTATAGATCTTTATAATGGCACCATTATTCAATGTCACCCTGTATGCAACATTATCATTATAACAATAAATATGTTAAATAAATGGGCAATGCTTATCTATTGTTTGCATAAAAGTGTGATAACATGATGTTAATAGGTTCATAATCGTATGCTCTGGTACAGCGTCATAAGAATATTGCTGAGGGTCAGGGACCTAGGACAACGCTTGAAGGTTTTTTACAATGCCAAGTTATTTAAAACTGACTGACATAATACAACTTACAAACAATAGTAACCTTGTCTTAAATAAAGTGTACAAAAAATCATCACACTCACCTTTTGAAGATTCATTTGCAGCAGGAACTTCAAGACTTGTCTGTAAATAAAAATGTAAACAGATCAGTGATTATTATTAATTTTAAATTATCCTCCAAGCTCACACCTTAATTCAGTCATCAAGTCACTTGTCATTAAAATCTAATAGGTTGTGAACTCAAGTGTTTTGTAATAAATTTTTATTAATTTAATGCTCACCTTCATATATTTTTTCCCTTCTATTTCATCTACAAAGCTCATAAAGCCTTCCCATATGGAAGAAGATGGCTGCTCCAAGTCTTCCGTTGCAACAATTGTGGCATTCAAATCAACAGTATCATCAGTCGATATGAGATCCGGGCCTGTGTTTATGTAAGAAGTTTCGATCACTTGTCTGCTTTCTGTGTCGTCTTGACCTTCTTCGTGAACACGTGTAATATTGCCGTAATCTGTGCCATCTCTTATGTATTCATCTTCATTGGTGTCTTCATCAGCAGACGACTCAATCGTGATGAATCTGGAGATATAATATTTTAAAAAATAAGTAAATTAAAGGTAAATTATTTCAAAACATATAAATTCATTATATTGCTTAATTTTACTTTTAGTTTTACACACATAGTTAGTTAAACATACCATTTGTAACTTATAAACTACTTCTGGTTACTTTTGTAAATAAAATGAATAATATGAATAAATGTGTAGTAAAGAGCAAAAAATATTTACAAAAGTTTTTACAAACTTTGTATATTTTGAGTCTGTTGAAAGTAATCTCTAGAACTTCTGAATCAGTTTTGAAAAATCTTTCACCAGTTACATTAAATTAATGGTTTAACAAGAATAACATACCCTTCAGTTGTTAACATTCCAAGCATAGTAGTAATTTCTTCTTTGTCTTTTTTCAACCTTCGTTCCTTTGCATAGCTCTGTTCAATGGTATAGTCCTCGGAGGGGTTTCTCAAGATTTCCACTCGTAATATACCATCTCTAGGCCACGAGTCTTTCACATGATTCAAGCATGTTGTAGGCGTTCTAGAGAATGCTATGTGGATGTATGCAAGAACAAAGAAAGCGACTAGCGCTTTTAACAGCACAAGGAATTCAAAGAATCTCCGCACAGGCCTCGGAAATGTTCGAGCATAAGCTACAGCAAACTTAAAAAACAGTGCATGGAACAACCTCTCTCTCACGCTGAATAATGGGTTCTGATTCTGAAACCTACGATTATTTGGTGGAGGTTGGAGCATTGGTCCAACATGCACATGATTAACGTTATTCTCATTGTTTACTCCGGGTGGTGCATTATTTACAGCCTGTCCTCCGCCTGCGCTCATCTTTACTTCGCTATAGAACTAATCTAAATATTATAGATTTTAATATCATATGAGCATCTCACGACATCTGAAAGAGAAAGTATAAAAAATTAAATCCATACCCTCTTCTCTTTAACCTCTGAGAACTGTCACAGAGCCAAAGGACGCGAGTGCAAAGTTACGAAATAAGTGTTCGCAAATTAGCAGGCCTACACTAATTGTATTTGGTTAACTTTCAAGATCACTGAAACCTTCTAAATAGACGTCGACCTCCAATAATTAAAACTGACAATACAAGTTTACTTACGTGCAAATAAAACAATAAACATACACGTATCACAGACATTAATATGGCTACTTTAAATTAAGATTATGTTTATTAATTAGTGTACAAGGATAGGGGATAATAAGCAAATCATATTTTTCTTAGGTCAAAGAGTAAAAGTGCTAAACGCAATCGTCGACATGAAAGCAAAAATCTTACCCAAATGTCAAAAATATTTTAATCAGAACACCTTTATTCAAAGGTGCTGATTCACAAAAATATAATTCGTCTAACTACAACCTAAATATTACATCAATACTAAGCTAAGATTTTAATTTACTTTCTAGTAATTAATAAAATCGAGAGATAATAATAAAACTGAAACTGTCAAACCGAAACGTCACGCATCGACGTCAAAAAATAGTTTGACTTTTTACTTTTTTTTTTACTCATGACTTTTATCACAGCGCTGGCAATCTAATATTACGCCATAACTTAACGTTATTTGTGAATCGTTATTTGTAGAATAGTTGCCGACTTTACCAGATTTTGAGAGCTTTTGAGATTAGTAGGTCCAGCATGTATCTACTCATAATTTCAGGCGATGATAGTAAAAAAAAATTTTTCAATTTCGGTCCAGTTTTCTAGATACATAACTGCTGTCTACAAAATACAAAAAGAAATGATATTTGGGGGCACGGTAGTGCAACCGCCAAGTCGAGTAAAATTTTTCAATTTCGGTCCAGTTTTCTAGATACATAACTGCTGTCTACAAAATACAAAAAGAAATGAGATCCCATCAAAAACAATACTTGTCAAAAAAACGAGTTGCGAGACTTGGTTTTTTTGACAAGTATTGTTTTTGATGGGATCTACCTTTTAAGTTTATTACTCACTACTACTTAAGTACAAAAGCTTTTTAATATGGATTACAAAACTTACATGATTGTGATCTTTGATCTTAGTTAAGTAGATCAGTCAGTCTGAGGTATCTCTTACGCGACTCTCGTAACTTAAATTTATTTAATTTAGAGTTCATGAAGAACGTGAAGCGAGTGGATGGAAGGTAGCAACAAGATCTCTACTTTGAACATGGTAGATACTTTCTTGTACGGATGACAGCACCTCAATCAAGCTAAGCACTCAATACTCTCAGGAGTCTTATCCCGTTGTAATACAGGCTATTTTGCTATAAAAATGTATACCTAGTCTGATATGCTGTCGACTGTACCAAAATACTTAAGACAATATGGTTATGGCCCGTATTCACAAACGATACTTGCTTAAGTGAAGCAGCAAATCGAACGCACAGCGTTGAATAGAGCTCTGTGATCGGTTCGTGTGTCACCCTGTGCGTCCACGCGCACTGTGAGACCTCATAGTAATGTTTGTGAATAGGGGCGTATTAATTGATCAGAGAGAGATACTTACTTATTATTGTCTTTACTTCACAAGATCAAATGAGGGCTATTCAGTGGTACTAAGATAGATAAATATGCCCCTAGCTCAGAGAAGCATTTCCAAAAATTACTTCAAGTCCAACACACATTTTTTTTATAATCTCAATCAATGTTTATGAAATCCCACCATGTCCCATTAAGTAAGAAAATATATCTACCGGGAGTACCGGGACTCGCCTAGGTACTCGTATTTAGGTAGGTAGGTAAGTAGTTTATACCTACGAGTAATTCGAGTTCTTGTAAGTTTTGTTATTGTTTTAGTTATATTGTGCGAATTGTGCTACATAAGCCAGAAGCCATAATTTTACGCGTCATTTGCGACACAATGTGAGGATTTTAACGGCCCGGAGTGTTAAGAAAGCGTCGCCTGCGCACTGAACAATGCCCAACTGCACACAAAGCCATGCAGACAGTCTGATTGACGTTCTAAATTGTACTGCCTTGTGAAGATTTTTTCAAAGATTTCAATGCGATCATTCTCTGATGGATAATGTAGATGAGGAAAAAAAAACTATTGAGACGTGCAGGTTCTATACCTGCGCTTTAAGTTGCACGTGCCATTGTGGATCGTTACGGGCAGCAGGATTTTATTCATGTATTATATTTTATTTATTATACAATCCTTTTATCGATGTTAAATGTTCAAACCTTTCCTTACCTATGAAATGTCTTACTTATGAATATTGCTCTGGAAATGCCTAACATCTTTTTTAGTTTTCCATAACAATAATCACAGAATGTAGAGATGAAATAGATAAATGTCTCTTTTTTTCTGAACCACATCATTAAACATAATTAAATCAAATGCGTTATTTAATTTTCTAAGTAATTAACAGTTCTTAATTCAATTGCACATTAGTTTTTGAGATTGAGTTGTTTCCTTTTGGCTTTTTACTGGCCATAACTAACCCTTACTTTAACTGCTAAGATCACACCTCGCATACCTGCCGGAGCCTTGTTCTAGCTTCTTTTTTTATTAGAACGCAAAGGCCATTCCATCCGAGCCAGAGTTAGATTAAGTCCCGGAGATAAAGCGAGTAAAGTTAAATTACGGTGCGCTCAAGTTATAAATATTCAAAAAGCCGGTCGGGCAGTCGACTTCGAAAAAAATTGACGTCTCAATTATCGGCATGGGACGAGCGTGTACCTACCTCTCTTGATTTATATTGTTCTCACGTTTTTATTTCCTGTATGTTTCGTGTTCTCTGTGTAAAGGAAATCTTAATGGCGTAATATCGAAACGTTTTATTAAAATTATTTTGTAGGACAACATTTTTGGCGAGCAGTGAGGATGCAGTTAGTTTTTTACTTGGAAATGTAGAGTTGTAGGTATTCCTCTTTAAGTTCCTGACTGTTTCTTACAGATTGAGGGTATTATTGTTATGGCAAGGCGTACTGTTCAAGTTTTAAATAAAAAATAGATACCTATCTAGTAAGTAAAGTAAGCCTGTTTTAAAAGAGGCGTCACTTTGTGATGTAAGTAGATGTAAACTGTGTATTATCACGTTGTATGTTATGTTACGAATTTCGTATGCACTGTGGATCCAAATTAATAATGTTTTAAAGTATAACCACAGTATGCCAAACGCATCCTAATCAGTTTCGCGTACTTATTACAATAAAATAAATCATCCTGTCTATTCGTTGACAGCATAAACGTTTCTGACTAAGCCCGTTTCTGCGAATCCAAGCCCAAATAAATATCAGTAGGTAGTCAGAACTGTCGGGGATGTCATTAATAAAATAGAATTAACATAAACATACTTGTATTAGAATGTAAATCATGGTAACCGAAGCCAGTTCTATAAATCTTATTTTTATGTTTTGCCAGTTTAGATTTTAAACACATTTTCTAAACGTTTCTACATCAACGGAATATTAATGTATGAAAATGATGTACAGACACATGTTATCAGGCAAGGTATTTGCTGCAAAATATCATAACAACTTTATGTTAAATTTATTTGATGAATTCAATTTGATGAAGCTGAAGCTGAATAAGTTAATTACTTTCAGTGATGTAGTCTATGTGGTCATGATCAAAATCTTTGAANTTGATCAATCAATCGATCATGACAAAATCGTTGAAAAAAACAATATACGAGTAGGTACTCGAAGGAAAGTAGGTAATTTCCTCCGATAATAAAAATATTACCTACCATAATAGAGCCGACTCTACCATAACCAATACAGGCAGCAATAGTTCAGAATTGCTCCTAGGTAGGATTTAGATTTTTCTAAGCTAGTTATATAAGATTGTATCTGTTGTTATTACCTGTTTTATAGAATTTGGCCATGCATTTGCCTTAAACTTTATATGGAATGGATTCATGACAAAAAATCGCTATTCATGGTTTGTGCATGGCATCATTTTTCACGATGACATGCACTTGTTTGAGTAGGTCTTTATTCATTTTTATTGAATAATAGGACTAAGAAATCCGTGCATGTGTAGGTATTATAAAAAAACGGTATGTATCGTCAATGTAGTAGAGAATTACGTTTTTTACGAGCCATCAATTATGTAAGTTTTAATTAAAATAAATCAAATTACTAAGCGTAGGCCGAATAGACGAACGCATCTGGTAAAAAACAAAAAGAAATAAAAACAAGTTCCCCTCTCGCGATACAATGATGATAAGTCAAGGCATGATTAATCACCACTTGAAAAATCTTCACTATAAATCATTGAACTCAGCCACGACTTCTATTCGGGTGGATTATACAAAACTAGTATAATGGCATAATTTATAAAAGAACATTGTCCAATGCGGCCAAATTTGGAACGTAGGCTGACGACCGTCGACTCTCTCAACTGTCGAAAGAGCAATTTGTTACTTGGTTTAAGAAAAGGACCAAAGACAGTTTTCGATAATTTGTCGGACTGTTGTCTCTTATTTTTAAGAAATGATGATGATAGAGATGAACTCTACACTTTTTTATGCATGTATAATAACACAAAAAGCTCTTACAAAATAAAACTTAACAAAGTATAGTAAATAGTAATTAGATTAACAATAATACCTAGTTAGTTACAAAAAAATAATATAATTTTTAAGTTCTTAATGTTTCCGTTTGGGAGTAAGTAGGTATAATAACAAAGTAACACTTCTACATTTTGTTGTGTGTAACAAAAGCAAATAGCCTAAAGTCCTTCCCATTTGTGAATAAGATAATCCGCTAGCCAGGTCCTTCTGTTGAGTGTACACTAAGTAAATATTTACGTACCTCTGTGTAAACTATACTCTCAGCAAACTAAGGATTTAACAACTTACATATTCAATTCTGTCGTCTCTAATTCTAAAGGAATAGGGGTGATACTAGGGTAACTTTAGAGTGTAGATAATTTTGTAGAAGTGTTTGTCCACCTGTGGTTGCCAGCTCCCGTTTAGAGTTTTCTTTTTATTGAGAGAGTTGCAAATCTGTCATTATAGTGTTAGGCCTTTTGTTTATTTACCTATACATATTTATTTCAAAAAAATATTTTGTTTTTGAAAGACGAGTACATAATCGTTCTTATGATTTTAATTAACCTCACCAGCTTTTTGACTCTACATGACCCTTGATTGGTGTTGGTTTAAACATAGTTCGACCCATAATTACTAACACTTATAAAAACCAAATCCAATGTACCAACTTCCCGTCTAATTCGTATAATTATAGTTCCGAGCTTAACAATGGCCGTAGACATTATACGAAGCTATATCCTGGTGGAGAAAGACGTATTGTGTTCGGTCTACCCACTCTACAGAGCTGTAAAGGCTTTAGTAGCATCTGCAGACGTTTTGATGCGTATCTATAGATCGCCAACCTTTGGCAACTTACGTCCTTATTTCTACGCTATGCATATTATGTTAGACATTTAAAAGAGAGTATTAATCTGTACTAATTTCCGGAAAAAAAACATGGTATCGTTTTTGAAAGTGACTATGTATCCCAAC